CCAATGAACCACCAGAAAACTGGAAAGTAGCCCCAAACTGGAAATGCTAGAGCACTAGCCTTGAGCAAAAGACAAAAGAGCTCAGGGACAGCGCCCAGGCCCTGAGTTCAAGCCCCATAACTGCAGTAAGTCATGGAAGGCCTCAGCTGGAAGGTGACATTCGAGTGAAAACCTGAAGAAGTGATTTCCACAGTTAACTGCTGGAAGTTGCTCCAGGTCAGGGGAGAAAGGGCACGGCTGTGACCTAGAGCCCAACAGCTGACCCGAGGAGCAGGGAGGAGGCAGGGAGGTCTAAACTGATTCTAAGGTGAAGGAACTCAGGGCCTGGGCACTGTCCCCGAGCTGCTTTTGCTCAAGGCTAGTGCTCTACCACTTGAACCACAGCGCCACTTCCGGCTTTTTCTGTGGATGTGGTACTGAGGAATCAAACTGCATGCTAGGCAAGCACTCTACCACTGAGCCACATTCCCAGCCCTCCCTCCCTCCTCCTTCCTTCCTCTCCCCCATCCTTTCCTCTTTCTCTCTCTTCCCTCCCTTTTCTTTACTTCCTTCCCTTCCTTTCTCTCCCCCTCCCTCCCTTGTTTTCTTCTTTCTTTCTTTCTTTCTTTCTTTCTTTCTTTCTTTCTTTCTTTCTTTCTCTCTCTCTCTCTCCCTCCCTCCCTTCTTTCCTTCCTTGGTAGCTAGGATGACAGTGCCTGGCCAGCTCTGTTTTTTTTTTTTTAAATCACTTTTATTATGACATGTGTGGCTTCATGTAACTATTGCTAAACCACACAAAACAGAATTGGACTATTAGGCTACAGTAGTGTCTTTGTGTCCATACCCTCACCCTCTCCCCACACCCCTTGCTGCCTCTGGCTGTTCTCAGTCTCTAGGAGCTTGTATTTGATAAGTCAAATAAGAGGAGTTGTGAAATATGTAACAATCAGTTATGACATTCATTCAAGTTATTATATCATTGCTTTCTTATTTATTCATTGTTGGTCCTGGGACTTGAACTCAGGGCCTGGACTCTGTCCCTGAGCTCGCTCAAGACTAGCTCTCTAAAACTTGAGCCACAGCACCACTTCTGGTTTTCTGGTGGTTCATTGGAGATAAGAGTCTCACAAACTTTCCTGCCTGGGCTGGCTTTGAATGGTGATCCTCTAGATGACGTCTTGTCGATATTGTGTTGTGGTGACTCATTGTAATTTTAATTTCTCTAATAAGCCAATGATGTTGAATATCTTGTGTGTGCATGTGTGTGCGTGCTTGAGTGTTTGTGTTGATCCTGGAGCTAGAATTAAAGGCATGGGCTCCAGGCTAGCCCACTTGAGATCCTCCCAGCTTTTTTTGTTTTTTGTTTTCTTTTGGAGGGGAGATAGTTTATTGGAGATGAGTCTCATGGATTTTCCCTGCTGGGGCTGGCTTCAAACTTTGATCCTCAGATCTTAGCCTCCTGAAGAGCTAGTTGATCTACTGGCACCGGGCTCTGTGTGTGTGTGTGTGTGTGTGTGTGTGTGTGTGTTTTGCCCTGGATATTTTGGTTATTATGTTGAAAGCATTTTTTTTTAAATTTTGTTTGTCAGTTGTGGGGCTTGAACTCAGGGCCTGGGCGCTTGTCCCTGAGCTCTTCACTCAAGGCTAGCACACTCTACCACTTTGAGCCACAACACCACTTCCTGAAACACTTTATCCTATTTAAGTTTTCTTTTTTAGCAGGTAGTTACCCTATTTAGACCTAATATTTATCGCTTGTCCTACTTTTGTATGCTTTTAATTGTCATGGTAATTTTTTAATGACTATTTAGTGCGTTTCCCTGTTTCTCTTCCCATTCCCTCTTCTTTTTCTTTCTTGTTTTTTTTTTTTTTTTTTTTTTTTTTGTCGGTCGTGGGGCTTGAACTCTGCTGTCCCTGTGCTCTTCAGCTCAAGGCAAGTGCTCTGCCACTTGAGCCATAGCGCCATTTCCAGTTTTCTGGTGGTTTATTGGAGATAAGAGCATCACAGACTTTCCTGCCTGGCCTGGCTTTGAACCATGATCCTTAGATCTCTGCTTCCTGAATAGCTAGGATTACAGGCATGAGCCACTGGCGCCTGGCTTGCTTTTTTTTTTTTTGGTGCTCAAGGCTACTGTTCTTCAACTTGAGCCATACCTCTATTTCTAGCTTTTTGCTGGTTAATAGAAGATTGAGAGTTTCTCAGATTTGTCTAATGGCTTCTACCCATTACAGCACCCATCTTCCCAGAGCCATTTCATAATGTGTGTCAAATTATTTCTAGTGCTGGTTGCTGGTGGCTCACACCTGTCATCCCAGCTACTCAGGAGGCTGAGTTCTGAGGATCA